ATGAAAGGTGCATAACATTTTGTTATGCACCTTTCATTAATATTTGTTTTAAGTAGGTAATCTAACATTTATTTCTCAATACATGAACAATTGTATTCATAAAAAAAAAAAAACATTAGATTTATTAAATAAAGGTTTTTTTTATTATTATTTTTATTTTTTAAAAAAAGCAAGTCTCCTTTCTATTGGTCTTAATAGTGAAATGTTTTAAACACTGTAACTCTGTCTGCCTGGGCTTTAAAAAGCTCATCAGTCTCTATCTGCTCTCCTCCACAGCTTAGTCCAAATAATAAATAAACATGTTGCCATTTTTGACAGCACAGACACACAAATGTATTAAATTCAGAAAATGTTTACCTCTTTTTGTTTCACCACATTTTGACTTTTAAGTTAGAAACTTTTTTAAGACATGCCTCGTCTGAAAGGTGGAGTATTAAAGGAACAACGGTGGAGTTGGCAGGTGACGTGACGAGATTAAGGAGAGAAACTGAAAAGTGGATCAGCGCTACGGCTGATGTAACAACTGGACGTAATGAGGCTGGAACAATATCTTGAAGTCACTCAATAAAAGCTGCAGATAATAAGGATCCAAACAGCGTCTGATAGCACCTGTCCTCCCAGCATTTCAACTGCAGCCAAAGCACATTTTATTATCAGCACAAATAAAAAAATATTTTCCAAACGCTGAACTTTTCCATATTGGTTTACATATTTCACTTCTACACAGTATTAGGGCCCCGCTAAGAGAAATTAAAAAAGTAAATTACAAACGAGAATAAAGTATTACGTGAATAAAGTTGTACGAGAAAAGCTAGAAATATTAAGCAAATAAACTTGTAAAATTACGAGAATAAGGTAGAAACAATACAAGAATAAAGTTATAATATTATGAGAATAAATTTGTAATATTACCAGAATAAAGTTGTAATATTATCAGAACTCTGACATGAAAATGCAGTCTTACATCAGGGGTAAAATGATGAACGTTGACGTCGGCAGTACAATAGCAGGGGGTCCAAAGCACTGTGGCATATGGATTCTTATGATAAACGGAATCCGTATTGCATTGTAATCAATAGCTGCATTGACGGATTTAGTCGTGACATAATGTGGATGGAGGCATATTTTACAAAGTAACCCAAAAGTGATCGCGGACTACTTCATAAACACAATGACTCGCATGGGAGGCTGTCCACAGAAGGTTCGAGCTGACCCCCACTGTATTACGAATTTATTCTCGTAATACTATGACTTCTTTCTTGTACTGCAATTTTTATTCTCTTAGGGTGGCCCTAATACTCTGTCGTACAATTCATTGTCCAAACACTATATACTTTTTTTCCCTCTTTCCCATAACAAACTCAGTGCCTTA